CTGTCATGGTTTGAATTATGTCCCCTCAAAAATGTGTGTATCAATTTGGCTGGGCCATGATTCCTGGTACTGTGTGATTTTCCTGAATGTTGTAAACCTGCCTCTATGATGTTAATGAGGGAGGATGGATGGTAGTTGTGTTAGTAAGGCAGGACCTGATCTACAAGACTGGATTGTGTCCTGAGGCAATCTCTTGAGTTATAAAAGACAGGGGGACCTCATACCCTCAGGAGGGCAGTGCCGGGAGCGGGGAGCATCCTTTGGGCTGGGGTCCCTGCGCCGAGAAGCTCCTAGTCTGGGGGAAAACTGCTGAGAAGGCTGAGAGAGAGAAAGCCTTCCCCTGGAGCTGACACCTTGCATTTGGACTTTTGGCCTACTTGACTGTGAGGAAATAAACTTCTGTTCATTAAAACTATTCACTTGTGGTATTTCTGTTATAGCAGCACTAGATGACTAAGACAGTGATCCTATATGACAGAGTAGAACTGCCCCCATAGGGTTTCCAAGGAGCAGATGGTGGATTTGAACTGCTGACCTTTTGGTTAGCAGCCAAGCACTTAAGCCACTGTGCCACCAGGGTTCCATTTGCTCACCAGAGGGTGGGAAATTAATCCAACAAAAATTCAGGCCCCTTCCACCTCAGTGAAATTTCTAGGGCTTCAGTTGTATGGGGCATGTAGAGATATTGCTACTAAAGTCAAAGATAAGTTATTGCATCTGGCCCCACAACTAAAAAGGAGGCACAATGCCTAGTGGGCCTATTTTGAATTTTGAAGGCAACATAGCCCTCATTTGGGTGTGCTACTCCAGCCTATTTATCAAGTGACTCGAAAAGCTGCTAGTTTTGAGTGGGGCCTAGACCAAGAAAAGACTCTGCAACAGGTGCAGGCTGCTGTGCAAGTGGTTCTGCCACTTGGACCATATGATCCAGCTGATCCAATGGTACTTGAAGTGTCAGTGGCAGATAGAGATGCTGTTTGGAGTCTATGGCAGGCCCCTACTGGTGAATCACAGAGCTGACTCAGGATTTTGGAGCAAAGCCCTGCCATCTTCTGCAGATAACTACTCTCCTTTTGAGAAGCAGCTTTTAGCTGGTTACTGGACCTTAGTAGAGACTGAATGCTTAACCATGGGCCACCAAGTCACTACGCATTCTAAGCTGCCCATCATGAACTAGGTGTTGTCTGACCCACAGAGCCATGGACATGCACAGCAGCACTCCATCATTAAATGGAAGTGGTATATACAAGATCAGGCCCAAGCAGGATCTGGGCACAAGTGTCTTAGTCATCTAGTGCTGCTCTAACAGAAATACCACAAGTGGATGAATTTAGCAAAGAGAAGTTTATTCTCTCACAGTCCAGTAGGCTACAAGTCCAAATTCAGGGCATCAGCTCCAGGAAAAGTCTCTCTCTCTCTCAGCTCTGGAGGAAGGTCCTTGTCATCAGTCTTTCCTTGGTCTGGGAGCATCTCAGTGTAGGAACCTCAGGTCCAAAGGGCACGCTCTGCTCCCGGCACTGCTTTCTTGGTGGCACGAGGTTCCCATGTGTCTCTGCTCACTTCTCTCTTTTATATCTCAAAAGAGATTGCGTCAAGACACTATCTAATCCTGTAAACCTCATCAGTATAACCTCATCACAGTGATAGAATTTAGAACACATAAGGAGATCACATATAATCTCATCATAGTGATAGTTTACAACACATAAGGAAATCACATCAGATTACACAATCATACAACACTGGGAATCATGACCTAGCCAAGCTGACAGATATTTTTGGGGGACACAACTCAATCCACGACAAGTAAGTTTCATGCATAAGTGGCCCAAATGCCCATAGTCTCCACAGCTGTCACATTACCTTCCATCTCCCAATCTGCACCTATGGCTCATAGGGAGTTCCTTATGATCAGTTGACTGAGGAAGAGAAAGCTTGTGCCCAGTTTACAGATGGTTCTGCTCAATATGCAGGCACTACTCACAAGTGGATAGTGGCAGCACTACAGCCCCCTCCTGGGACTTCCCTGAAGGACAGTGGTGGAGGGAAATCCTCCCAATGGGCAGAACTTTGAGAAGTGCACCTGGTTGTTCACTCTGCTTGGAAGGATAAATGGCCAGATATGCATTTGTATACTGATTCATGGGCTGTGGCCAATGGTTTGGCTGGATGATCAGGGACTTGGAAGGAGCATGATTGGAAAATAGGAGACAAGGATGTACAGGGAAGAGGTATGTGGATAGACCTCCCTGAATGGGCCAAAGAAGATATTTGTGTCTCATGTGAATGTTCACCAAAGGGTGACCTTGGCAGAGGAGGATTTTAACAATGAAGTGGATAGGATGACACATTCTATGGAAACCAGTCTTCCTCTTCCCACAGCCACTCCTGTCATTGTCCAATGGGTTCATGAACAAAGTGGCCATGGTGGCAGAGATGGCGGTTATGCATGGGGTCAGCAACATGGACTTTCACTCACCAAGGCCAACTTGGCTACATCCACTGCTGAGTGCCCAATCTGCCATCAGCAGAGACCAACACTGAGTCCTCAATATGGCACCATTCCTCAAAGTGATCACCAGCAACCTGGTAGCAGGCTGATTACACTGAATCACTTCCATCATGGAAAGGGCAGCATTTTGTTCTTACTAGAATAGACACTTACTCTGGATACAGATCTAACTTCCCTGCATGCAATGCTTCTGCCAAAACTACCATCCATGGACTTACCCACCATCATGGTATCCCACACAGTATTGCCTCAGATCAAGGGACTCACTTAACAGCAAATGAAGTGTGGCAATGGGTTTATGCTCATGGAATTCACTGGTCTTACCATGTTACCCATCATCCTGAAGCAGCTGCCTTGATAGAACGATGGAATGGCCTTCTAAAGACACAATCACAGTGTGAGCCAGTTGGCAATACCTTGCAGCATTGGGGCAACGTTCTCCAGGAGGTTGTTTATGCTCTAAACTAGTGTCCAATATATGGTGCTGTTTCTTCCATAGCCAGGATTCATGGGTCCAGGAATTAAGGGGTGGAAATGGGAGTGGCATCACTATTACCCCTAATGACCCACTTGCAAAATTTTTGCTTTCTGTCTCTGCAACCCTATGCTCTGTGGGTCTAGAGGTCTTAGTTCCAGAGGGAGGAATGCTCCCACCTGGAGATACATCCCTGATTCCATTGAACTGGAAGAATGCCACCTGTCCACTTCAGTTTCCTTATGCCTCTGGATCAACAGGCAAAGAAGGGAGTTACCATATTGGCTTGTGCGATTGATACTGATTACCAAGAGGAAATCAGATTGATATTATATAATGAGGGTGAAGAGTATGTCTGGAATGCAGGAGATCCCTTAGGATGTCTCTTAGTACTACCATGCCATTGTTAAAGTCAATGGAAAACTATAGCAACCTAATTCTAACACGACTACTAATGGCCCAGACCCTTCAGGAATAAAGGTTTGGGTCACCCCACCAGGCAAAGAACGACAACCAGCTGAGGGCTTGCTGAGGGCAAAAGGAATATGGAACGAGTGTGGAAGAAGGTAGTTCTAAATACCAGTTATGACCATGTGACCAGTTGCAGAAGCAACGACTGTAATTGTTATGAGTACTTCTGCCTTGTACGTGTGCATCAGTTATTTTTGTTTTCTTCATTTATAAAATATAAGATATAAACAGGGCTAGTACATTTTCGGTTGTCTGTGTGTTAGTTGTATCATGTTAGGTGCAAGTATGACTTTATAATTGTCTTTATTCAGAGATTATGTATGGTTTAAGGAGATGTGCACAGATGCCAAGTTGACAAGGGTTGGATTGTGATAAGATTGTGTGTCAGCTTGGCTGGGTCATGATTCTCAGTGGTTTGGCAGTTATCATGTAGTCTGGCAGTCATATGATGATGTGATCACTTCCATGATGAGATTTGATATAACGTGATCACCTCCATGAAGGGACCTGCTTTGAGTAGCCAATAAGTTGAAAAGGAGTTTCCTTGGGGGTGTAGCCTGCATCCAACATAAGTGGACTTTCTGGCAAGGCTCATGGGCTTTTGCTTTTTCCTGAAGCTGGATCTTGTTTGTCTGACCTCCAGTTCCTGGGACTTGAGCTAGCAGCTTAACTGTTGTCTTGCCTGCCAGTCTTGGGATTCATCCATCTTCACAGCCTGTGAGCAAGAGCTCTGCTCTCTGACCTGCCGATCTCGGGTTCGCCAGCCCCTGTGGCTACGTGAATCAGGAGAAGTCTACAGACTTGGGACATTCCAGTCTCTACAACTGTGTGAGCCATTTCTTTGATATAAATCTCTCTCTATATATATTTATACACTTTACTGGTTTTGCTTTTCTAGAGAACCCAGCTTAAGACACCATCCAGTGTGACCTTGCCTGATGGAAGTGTGACTATTGAGCACTTGAAATATGGCTGGTGGGACTGCAGAACTGAATTTTTAATTTTATTTCATTTTAATTAACTTACATTGAAATTGAGGTAGCCCGATGCGGCTAACAGTTATTCTATTGGACAGTGCAGCATTCAGCTGAAGACCCAGACTGGAGATGGAAGCCAGGAACAGGAAGGTTTTAGTTTACGGTTTGTGCAGCCATGGGGGGCCAGTTTTGGCAAGGAGAACAGTGGGGATCCAAGAAGGGAGACGTGGGACACCCAGTCGCAGCATTCAGCTCCATGGAGGAGATGTACCTGATTCCTAGGGTCAAAGTGCTTGCTCACACTTGCTGGTGGGTAAGTATATGGGCAGGTGTAGCTGAGTGAATGCACAGACGCACTTGTGTGCAACCCAGGAGTTCCAGGCCTGTGCACGATCCAGGAGTCCACTCATTCATGTACATTGTGTGGACTCCCAGTGCATGCACACACACAGCAGGTGTGTGTCACTGCATGTCCACATGCATGTATGTTATATGGACTCCTGGGTACACACAAACACATGCCACAAGTGTGTGTTCCTGAGTGTCTGTGTGCATGTATGTTGTGTGGACTCTCAGGTGCACACATGCACACAACAGGTGTGTATTCCTGAGTGTCTGTGTGCACGCATGTTGTGTGAACTCCCAGGTACATACACACACATGCTGCGAGTGTATGTTCCTGAGTGTGTGCATGTACACTGAGTGGAGGACTCCCAGACACACACACTCATGCAGCAGGTGTGTGTTCCTGAGTGTCCACGTGCATGTATGTTGTGTGGACTCCCAGGCACACTCATACACGAAGCAAGTGTGTGCTTCTGAGTGTTTGCATGATGTCATTGTGTGGACTCCCAGGTGCATGCACAAAATGGGTGTGTGTTCTTGACTGCCTACATACATGCATGCATGCTGTGTGGACTCCCAAGCATGTATATATTGCGGTGTGTGTTCCTGTGTCTGTGTGCATGGACACTGTGTGGAATCCCAGGCACATGCACACATGGATGCCACAGGTGTGTGCTCCTGAGTGTCTGTGTGCTGTGTGCCTAGGCAGGCCAATGAGTGAGGTGAGAGAGGATCGCTAGTCCAGTAGGTCTCGTAGGAAGGCCCACATGTACTGATGCATCTCTTCGGGGTTGCTCTGTGGGACCCAGTGCCCCACGTCTGGCAGGATGTGGGCCTCTAGCCGGCCCGGCACGAAGCGGCTACCAACGGCACCCACCAGCCCCGGCTCCAAGTAGATGTCCTTCTCCCCCCATAGCAGCAGTGTGCGCGTAGACAATTCTTGGGGCTCCAGGGGGAAGTTTCTGTGGCCAAGACAGACAGGTAGATAGGCTGTCTCCCTATCACACCCCACAAAACTCCTTAACTTCTTCCCTGGGACAGATCTCACCTGAAGATGTTCCGGTAGTAGTTGAGGGGCCCCACGAGGCCACCAGCCTGCGTGAAGCTGTAGAGGAAGGCCTCGATCTCATGGAGGGTCACACGTGGGATACCCGTCTTGGAGTGGGTGAAGATCGTTTTCAGGATCTGGGCACACAGTAAGATTGGCTTCCGTGTCCTGCCCACCCAGACCCAACTGACTACCCCGTCCCCTAGATCTTCACCCCACAGCACCTGGAAGTCAGACATGGAGAGCAACTTCTCAGGCAGCCAAGGAAGCTGGAATAGGAACATATAGTGGGAACGGAAGAGCTGGCTGATGTGACGTAGGGAGTAGTCTGGTGGGGGAGAGGGCAAGGCAGACTTGAGGCCTAAGGTAGTACCACACCCCTGCACCCCACACACACCCAGGCCTGGAGCACAGGCATGCCAACACCCAGGAGTGCCACTGCTGCCTGAGCCTGCAGGGACACTCGACACTCCCCCAGCCCAGACCCTTGCACCTCCCCAGCCAAGTGGTACTCATGAAATACTGGGCCTCCCTCTGCAACAGGAGTGCCTCCCAGCTTCCCTCCCACAACCCCAGGGGTCTTTCCCTGCCCAGGCTGGATGTGTTTCTCCTGCTGCATTCACAAACATTTATTGGGCACTTACTGGGTGCCAGGCCCTGTTATAGACAGGAAAACAGCAGGGAAAAAGACTCACAAAAATCCTCCCTCTTGGGCAGTTGGAATCTAGAGGGGGAGAGAGATAAGAAACCACAAGAAGAAACAGACAGAGATGGAGACTAGGGAGGGAGGGAGAGAGACAGAAGGGGTAAAAAAATACACTTAGAGAAGGAGAAATACAGTGAGGAGACAGAGAGACAGAGAAAGATAGATAAACAAAGGAAGTAAAAGAATCACTTAGAGATAGAAAAAGAGACAGACACCAAGAGACAGAGACAGATTAACAAAAGGAGTAAAAGAAACTCAGAGAGAGAGAGATGGTGATGGGGAGAAACAGATAGAGACAAAGAGAGAGATGGACACAGAGAGCAAGAGGCAAAGAGAGAGAGAATTAAAATCAGGTGATGGGACAGACACTGGGTAGCCAGAGACACATCTTATGCTATTGGAGTGCTTAGTTATCTATGTCTTCCCTGCCAGAAGAAAGCCATTCCACCTCTCTGTGCCTCAGTTTCCCCAACACTTTCATCAGCACAGGAAGCATATGTAGGTTAATGTGTGCAGGGTCCTTATCAGAGCAGTGGTTATCTGTAAGTGCTCAAAAAGTGTGGGTGACTCTGATGGGCTGTCATGGATTTCAGATTGGGAGCACCATGAGGAGAGGGACCACCGCCTTTTGGGGTCAGCATTGTGACTCCAGCTCCTGCGTGCTGACGGGTGGAGAAGCACAGACAGAGACACACACCCCCTTCACACAGGCACATTAGGCCACCTGGACTCCCCACGTACCTTGGTACACAGACATGGGGGCAGCGCTGGCCACCACCAGCCGCTCCACCAGTGCTGGGTAGTAGATGGAGAAATTCCAGGCCAGGAACCCGCCCCAGTCGTGGCCCACAAGCACACACTTGGAGTAACCTGGGGGCCAGAGGAACTGGTTTAATTGAGGAGTAGGTAGGGCTGGGCCAAGGGTGGGAGTTGCAGCCCTGCATGCAGGAAGCACAAGGGAGAGGAGTGCGCAGGATGAGGGCATGTCCGCTGGCCTGCCCCACCCACCCAGGCCCAAGATGACATCCTGGATGTCCACCATCAGCAGGTCGGTGGTGTAGCAATCCACATCTCCAGGAGCATCTGAGGGCCGGTAGCCACGCATGTCCACAGCCACGACATGGAAGCGGCTCTGGAACTCCCGGAGCTGGTAGCGCCAGGAGAACCTGACAGACGAGCGGGGCGAAGAGAGAGGTTGAGTCAGAGCCTCTGGGGTGGGGTGCACCGCTGCCCTCCGCCCAGCAGGGGACTTTGGCAACCCCACCTTCCAGCGCTGAACTTCCCAGAAAGGAGGAAGGGGAAGGTCAGGCGAGGCCGGCTGCACCTCCGATGCAGTGCAGCCTCACCTCGATACTCCTTTGTCCCACCCCTGAGGGCCTTCTTCCGTCCCCGTGTGTCCCGGCCCAGACTCTTGTCCCCGTGTGCCCCTGACTCTTGTCCCCATGCGCCCCCTTCTTCGTGCGTGCGTCCATCTCAGCCTCTCCCTGTCTCCGGTGCCCCACCAGAGTCCTCTTCGCTCTGCGCCCCCCTGCCCTCGTCCCTGCCTCCTGGGTGCCCCGACGGTTCGAGCTCCATGCCCCCGCACCTCCCTCTCTCCTCCACGGTTGGCCCCAGTCGTACCAGTTTTCTGGGAAGCCGTGCAGAAACAGCATGAGGGGCCCATTGCCGCGTCCGGCGGAGACATAGTGCAGGCGCAGGCCCGAGCTCTGCGAGAGGGTGCGGGGGTGAGCCCGAGCCCCTTGCCCTGGGTCGCCAGGGCCTCCCCGCGCCCGTGGCTCACCGACCCCCGCGGCCCAACGGCCCTCCGCGCGCTCACCTGGAGGGTCAGGAAGTCGTGCTCACCCAGCGAGGGGTCGCTCAGGCAGGCTGGAAAGACGCACCGAGGGCGCCCGCAGCAGCCGCGCCGCGGCCGGCACAGCACGTGGGTCAGCGCGATGCAGCTGTACACGGCCGCGGCCACCAATGCCGCCGAGAACACCAGGCTCCACATCAAGGCGCGGAGCAACTTCAGCGTGAGGCGTGACGGTGCCAAGAGAGCAGTCACCACGAGCTCTGGCATGTCGCCACTCTCGGGGACCACGGCGAGGCAGGGTCAGGGCTTCGAAACTCCTCTCCCTTGCTCTGTGGCCCTTCCGTGCCGTGAGGCTTGCGGGACGCAGTGGGGGACAAGGGGGTAGCTCAGACCGAACCGCCGGGGTGCGCTTATCACCTAAGTGCTAGGTACGCACCTGGGCGCGACCGGGACAGGGAACAGGACTGGGGCGCTGGAGCCGGGCTTGCGGGCTGGGGACGGGGCCTGCGGAATGGGGCGGGTCTAGTGGACCCGGCTGTTGCGGCTGGGGAGGAGCCTGGGAGGGATGCGGTCGTAGGACAGTCGGCGTGCCCAAGAAAGGCGTGCCAGTGCGTAGCAGGTAGCGGGGCTAGATCAGCGGAAGGGGTCCAGAAGGCGGGGCGGGGTTAGAAAGTGGGAGATGCCTAGAGAGGTGGGGCAGGGCCTATTAGGCAGCTGGACCAAAACAGTGGGTGGGGTCCAAACAGGCGGGGCGGGAAATGAGAAAGGGCGGAGCCTAGCAGGACTACTCAGCAGGTGGATAGGTGGGGGAGATTCTAGGCCTCGACAAACGGGCGCCCTGGGTGAAATGAGTGGAACCTGAAGCGGAGGGCGGGGCCTAGGCATAGAAACGTGGGCACAACCTGGTCAAGCAGCATTGTAGGGGTCGTGGCTTAGGCAGGATGAGGGGCGGGACTAATGGGACGGGGCAGGGCCCGGCGCCTGTGACGGTGGTAGGGCGGGACGCGGAAGCGGAAGGACAAGGACAGGTAGAGCCGTAGCTGAGGCTAGGAGGGTAGGAGGGCTGTCGCCGCGGGCTGGCAGACATCGGGAAGCCCGGAAACCACCCCTCGGGAGCTGCCCGCCCCGCAGCGCGCGACCTTCCCCTCGGCCTGGCTCCGAACGCTCCGCAGCACCTTCACCAGCCCTGGTCCCAACGGCGGCTCCGGCGGCCTCGGTCCCGGCCTACCTCTGCACAGCTGTGATTGGAGAGCAGCGTACAGTTCTTCTGCAGAGGACAGGTCCTGACCCAGGAGCCAATCGACAGATGCTGGGGGCGTGGCGGAGACAGAAACGGCCAATGGGGGCGGAAATGTGACTGAGGGGGCGGAGCCTGCGGGGCGGGGCCCAGGTAACAACCCAGTCCCTGCAACTGGAAGGCCGGATTTCTTTTCTCGGTTGCAGCATCCTCCAAGGTCATCGGGTTAAAGAGTGACATTTTCTAATCATTTTGGGGACACCCATCGTTTAACCCGCATAGCAACCCTATGAAGGTTAGGTACCATTATAACAGCCTGAGACTGGAGATAAGTCATTTGCGCAAAGGCTGTCAGTTGGATAAACAGTTCACAAGGATTTACATCTGCCCGCCTCTCCTCGCCGCCCTGGCAGCAACTTTGAACGCTTTTAGCTGTCTTCTGATGGTGACCTAGGTGTCTCTAAATGTGTCCTCCCCCCTTTTTTAAATTGTGGTAAAATAAATATATAACATTTGTCAATTCAAGAATTTTTACATGCACAATTAAGTGGCATTGATTACATTCATCATGTTGTGCAACCATTACCAGTAACCTTTTCCAAATCATTCCACCATAATTAACAGAAAATCAGTGACCACTAAGCAATGATGCCCCCAACCACCTCTCTCCTACCTTGTTGTTAAGCGCACTGCTCTTCCCCAACACCATAATTCACCATAATTCAAAGGTGTCAATTCTTGTTTGGTCTTCCTTATTCAATGTCCAGCTTTTGCACGCATATGAAACAATTGAAAATACCATGGCTTGGGTCAGGCACACCTTAGTCCTCAAAGTGACTTCTTTGCTATTTAACACTTTAAAGAGGTCTTTTGCTGCACATTTGCTAAAGAGGTCTTTTGCAGCAGATTTGCTTATGCAATATATCGTTTGATTTCCTGACTGCTGCTTCCATGGGTGTTGATTGCAGATCCAAGTGAAAAGAAATCCTTGACAACTTCAGTCTTCTCTCCGTTTATCATGATGTTGCTTATTGGTCCAGTTGTGAGGATTTTTGTTTTATGTTGAGGTGTAATCCATACTGAAGGCTGTAGTCCTTGATCTTCATCAGTAAGTGTTTCAAGTCCTCTTCACTTTCAGCAAGCAAGGTCGTGTCATCTGCGTATCGCAGGTTGTTAATGAATCTTCCTCAAACCATGACGCTTCTTCATATAGTCCAGCTTCTTAACTTATTTGCTCAGCATACATACTAAGTATGGTGAAAGGATACAACCCTGACGCCCACATTTCCTGACTGTAAACCATGCAGTATCCTCTTGTTCTGTTTGAACGACTGCCTCTTAATCTATGTACAGGTTTCAGATGAGCACAATTAAGTGTGCTGGAATTCCCATTCTTTGCAATGTTATCCATAATTTGTTATGATCCACACAGTCAAATGCCTTTGCAATAAAACATAGGTAAACATCTTTCTGATATTCTCTGCTTTCATCCAGGATCCATCTGACATCAGCAATGATAGCCCTCATTCCACAACCTCTTCTGAATCTGGCCTGAATTTCTGGCAGTTCCCTGTTGATGTACTGCTGTAACCACTTTTGAATGATCTTCAGCAAAATTTTACTTGCATGTGATATTAATGATATTGTTCTATAATTTCTGCATTCTGTTGGATCACCTTTCTTTGGAATGGGCACAAATATGGATCTCTTGCAGTCGGCTGGCCAGGTAGCTGTCTTCCAAATTTCTAGGTATAGACAAGTCAGCACCTCCAGCGCTGCATCTGTTTGTTGAAACATCTCAATTGGTATTCCATCAATTCCTGAGCCTTGTTTTTTGCCAGTCTTCAGTACAGCTTGGACTTCTTCCTTTAGTACCCTTGGTTCTTGATCATATGCTACCTCCTGAAATCGGGGTGAACGTAGACCGATTCTTTTTAGTACAGTGATTCTGTGTAGTCTTTCCATCTTCTTTTGATGCTTCCTGCATCATTTAATATTTTGCCTATAGAATTCTTCAAAATTGCAACTCGGGGCTGGAATTTTTTCTTCAATTGTTTCAGCTTGAGAAATGCCAAGTGTGTTCTTCCTTTTTGGTTTTCTAAGTCCAGATCTTTGCACATTTCATTATAATATTTTACTTTGTCTTCTCAGGCCACCCTTTGAAATCTTTTGTTCTGCTCTTTTACTTCATCACTTCTTCCATTCGCTTTAGCTACTCTACATTCAAGAGCACATTTCAGAGTCTCTTCTGACATCCATTTTGGTCTTTCTTTCACATCTTTTTAATGACCTTTTTTCTTTCTTAATGTATAATGTCCTTGATGTCATTACACAGCTAGTCTGGTTTTCGGTCATTAGTGTTCAATGCATTAAACCTGTTCTTGAGATGGTCTTGGCTGAAAGCAGAGAATACCAGAAAGATGTTTACCTGTGTTTTATTGACTACTTAGTCACTTTGAGGGCTAAGGTGTGCGTGACTCAAGCCATGGTATTTTCAATCACCTCATAAGCATGTGAAAGCTGGACGATGAATAAGGAAGACCAAAGAAGTGATGCCTTCGAATTATGGTGTTGGTGAAGAATATTGAATATACCATGGACTGCCAGAAGGATGAACAAATCTGTCCTGAAAGAAGTACATCCAGAATGCTCCTTAGAAGCAAGGATGTTGAGACTCATCTAATGTACTTTGGACATGTTATCAGGAGGGACCAGTCCCTGGAGAAGGACATCATGCTTGGTAAAGTAGAGGGTCAGCAAAAAATAGGAAGACCCTTAATGAGATGGACTGATGACTGCAACAATGGGCTCGAACATAACAACAACTGTGAGGATGGCACAGGATGGGGCATTGTTTTGTTCTGTTGTACCTGGTGTGGCTATGAGTTGGAACCAACTGGATGGCACCTAACAACAAGTCCTATGTTTTCCATCCAGTGAAATCCACGTGTGTAGTTGCCATTTATGTTGTTGGAAAAAGGTATTTGCAATAAATAAGTTGTTGGTCTTGCAAAATTCTATCATGTGATCTCTGGCATCATTTCTAACACGAAGGCCGTATTTTCCAACTACCGGTCCTTCTTCTTCGTTTCCAGCTTTCACATTCCAATCAACAGTAATTATCAATATATTTTGATTGCATGTTTGGTCAATTTCAGACCGCAGAAATTAGTATAAATCTTCAATTTCTTCATCTTTGGCATTAGCGGTTGGTGCGTAAATTTGAACAATAGTATTAACTGGTCTTCCTTATAAGCGTATGGATATTATCCTATCACTGACAGCATTGTACTTCAGGACAGATCTTGAAATGTTCTTTTTGACAATGAATGTAATGCCGTTCCTCTTTGCCATTCCTGGCATAGTAGACCACATGATTGTCCGATTCAAAATGGCCAATACTAGTCCATTTCAGCTCACTAATGCCTAGGATATTTATCTTTATGTGTTCCATTTCATTTTTGACAACTTCCAATTTTCCTAGATTCATACTTTGTACATTCCACATTTCAATTATTAATGGATGTTTGCAGCTGTTTCTTCTCATTTTGAGTCTTGCCACATGAGCAAATGAAGGTCCCGAAAGCTTTATTCCATTCACATCGTTAAGGTCGGTTGACTCTACTCTGAGGTGGCAGCTCTTCCCCAGTTGTATTTTGAGTGCCTTCCAACCTGAAGGGCTCATCTTCTGGCACTGTATCAATGTTCCACTGCTATTCACAAGGTTTTCACTGGCCAATTGTTTTTAGCAGTAGCGTGCTAGGTCCTTCTTCCTAGTCTGTCTTAGTCTGGAAGCTCCACCTAAACCTATCCACCATAGGTGACCCTGCTGGTATTTGAAATACCAGTGGCATAGCTTCCAGCATCACAGCACTACTCGAGCCACCACAGCACGACAAACTGACAGAAGAGTGGTGGTCTCCCACGCTTAGTAACCACTACTAAGCTTTTGTCTCTATACATTTGCCTGTTTCATATAAGTGGGATCATACAATATTTGCTCTTTTGTATCTGACTTATTTCACTCCAC